AAACTCGACCTCAAACAGGACAGGGATTCTCTCCAATTCAAAGCCGGACAGATCGCTTCCCAGCACGGCGCCTACGTTGGCATCACTTACGAGTACAAGGACGCGAGCACCGGGAGAGTCGGGAACTATTTCGACCTCGTTCTTCCCGATGGCTCCATTGGATTTAGCTACAGGAAAGCCCACTTGGTTCCATTCGTGTACACACATCACTGGTGAACGATCCTTAAAGAAGTTTGAGAGGTCGGAGCTACATTGCGTGCTTTTGTCAGAGGAATCAAACGTGCTTGTCTAAGATTCCTGTGAAGCCCAATCTGTAATACAAAACATGGGTGATATGGACGTAGCACTTGCATTGACTTAATCGTCGTTTGGTGCAGCAAGACTACCGCACGATTTGGAGGAGTCCAAGGCGATGGATCGAGTCGGCTGGAGTGTCGATTGCAAAAGAAGGCAGCCCCACACTGCCATGACAAGGGCATCGCGTTCCATCTCCATCGCTCCGAAGAGCTTCGTGTGAACATCGTGGCGCAAAGGAATATTTGCTTTGTTAGTACCTATCATGGCAGCAAGTATCGTCGTCAGACATCAAACATTGATCGTTTTCTAGTTTTCCATGAAGAGTTTTGAGAACATTCAAATAGAATCAAACACATTCCCTTAGGCAGATCATCAAACACAAATTTCGCCTGCTGCACTTTCCACACACCTCAATCACTAGGTATTGCAAGGTATCTGTCTGATTGAAGTTGCTCGCGATCTCTCAGAGCCTCTAGTGATTTGGTCCAGGAGCTCCACGCTCAGATCCTGGGAATGTTGGGTGTTATATAGACAAATGATTTGTTTTTTTCCCATTTTGTCAATATTTGAATTTATCAAGCATGAAACGCATAGTCTTAAATTCTCAAGTAATTTGACAACATAATCTAGGCAGCAGTTTTTTTTTCCTTAGATTCTAACAATGCCAAGCCCATACATTTGCCAGGAGAGGATACATAGCTCTGCTGCTCGCAAGTCCAGACACCCATTTTGATATGCAGGTTCCACACTCGAGGCTCCAACATGCAGCTAAAAGGCACAGCCAATTCAAAGAAGTGGGAACAAATGGCATGTTTCCGATGAGTTCTCTTGCATTGTCAATGCCAGGCCATCGATTATGCAGGAGTAATGCTGGTGACATGGCTGAATGCCACAGTCAAAAGCCATCGAAACAAAGCAACACTGCCAACTTGGCCGTGAGCATTGAGGGCGGAGACAAATCCAAATTGGTTGTAAATGCCGGCCATCTGCAGAAACTTCATTCTTCCCTGGCATCTGGGCAAAAGTTTTTCTTGCAAGTGAGGCAGCAAGCATTCTAGTCCAAGAAATTATGTCTTTCTCCACCATTGCATTGAACATGACCCTTGCTTCTACCATATACCCATTTTGGGCATAAGCATCAAGCATGGTGTTCCAAGAAACTAGCTGTTGGTATGGCATTTTATCGAAAAATCGTCGTGTCAAAGTCCATATCTCTTGATCCTGTGTAGACATACAATAATGAACTCCACAATACTAAACTTTAACATGGCATTTTGTCAAATATGCACTTTATTATTCTTGCATCTAAATTTGCAATCTAGTGTCATTTTATATTTAGTAAGTTTTTGTAATTGTTTTAAAGATTAATTTTTAAGTAAAATCCTAAAGCATGCATTCTTTTACAAAAGGGGGTTTTGTTTATAAGCCTTTTTTCTATTCTATTACCTTAATTTGGTGCTTAACAATCCTTTAGAAATTATCATCTACAATCATATTTAAGTTATCCTTTAGTCACCATGGTACTTCTCTTAAGGTTTACTAACCTTGGTTTTCCTTCTATATTTGTCAGCCATGAGAATTAAATTAGGCTCCAATACCAATGTTATAATCTGATGTAAAAATACAAAATCTAAGTTTTTCACCACATAATTACCCTTGAGTTTTTTAGTTTTTGATGAATTCCAAATGTATAATAAGGATAATGGGTAAGTTAAACATGGTTGACTAACTTAAAGCATAATTTAACTCCCCACTTATGTTCTATTCTGTGTTTGACTAAGGTTTAAACTATAATTCCAGAAAGGATTAGAGTGTGGCATCGCCTATCTCAAGTTCCTTCTCTTGCAATGGACGCCCGACAATTTCAGTAATGAATCCCCCTACTCAATCATGTTTGGGCCAGACAAATGTGGTACCACCAACAAGGTGCAATTCATCTACAAGCACAAGGGTCCCAAATCCGACAAGCACATCGAGCATCACCTCAAGTACCCGCCATCGCCAGTGGCTGATAAGCTCTCTCACGTCTACACGGCAGTGATCTACCCGAACAACACGCTCAAGATCCTCGTCGGCGGCAAGGAGGAGAAGAGCGTCGACCTCCTCTCGAGCGACTTCGAGCCGGCCGTGATCCCGCCCAAGACCATCCCCGATCCCGACGACAAGAAGCCCGAGGACTGGGACGAGCGGGCGAAGATCCCCGATCCGGAAGCGACCAAGCCCGAGGATTGGGACGAGGACGCTCCACTGGAGATCGAGGACGCGGAGGCGGTCAAGCCCGATGACTGGCTGGACAACGAGCCGGACGAGGTTGACGATCCGGAAGCTAGCAAGCCCGCGGACTGGGACGACGAGGAGGATGGCGAGTGGGAGCCCCCGAAGATCAGCAACCCAAAGTGTGAGGAAGCGTCTGGGTGTGGAGAATGGAAGAGGCCCATGAAGAGGAACCCGGACTACAAGAGGAAGTGGTATCCTCCGATGATCGACAGCCCGGCTTACAAGGGGATCTGGGCTCCGAAGCAAATACCGAACCCGGAGTACTTCGAGTTGGACAGGCCGGATCTAGAGCCGATCTCGGCGATAGGGATCGAGATCTGGACGATGCAGGACGGCATTCTTTTTGACAACATCCTGGTGGCGACCGACGAGGCTGTGGCAGCAGAGTACAGGGAGACGAAATGGAAGCCCAAGTACGAGGCTGAGAAGGAGAAGCAAAAAATTGAAGAAGCGACTCCGAGTCCTGACGGCATCCAGGTACTTTTCCTTTGTCTGTCTTTTGTTTTCTTTCTTGTGTGTGTGTGTGACGACCTTGAATCTTTTCAGGCAAAGATGTTTGAGTACCTGCGCAAGGTTGCCGACATCCCGGCTTTGGCGTCACAGAAGGAAAAGATTCTTGTAAGTAAAACATGGACTTTGTCTCGTATTCTTACTTTCTTTTCGTTTGTGACACACAGGATCTAGAAGGCCGAGAAGTTCCCAACCATTTCTTTGAGCGCCATAGCTTTCATCCCGCTCGTCGTGGTGGTCACGCTGTTTAAGATTCTTTTTGGTGGCAAGAAATCGCCCCCCAAGAAGACGAAGGTACAATTAGCAATAGAGTTGCGCTAGTTTTGGATTCTCATGGTTGTTTGTCTTGCGCAGGTGACTGTAGAGAAGTCCAAGAAGGAAGACATCTCCAGCCCGGACGATTCCAAGGACAAGGCGGAGGACGACGCGACAGGCAACGAGATTGAGAAGGAAGGCGAGGGCGCCCGTCAAAGGAGAACCCGACGCAAATCGTAAGAAAACAGGAGGCGAGAGAGAGCTAGAAGAATCAAAGCTTTTACTCGAGAGAAGACAAGAGAAGAGCGCTCAAAACGTTGTATTGTAAGTGGATGTTTCCCTTTTTTTTGGATTTTACTTGAATCACTATAGTACCTGAAGTACATAGAATTGCTGAATAGATTCTACGAGATTCTACTTACTAGTTCCAAAACAGTGCTAAGATCGTGGCCAGCTCAATCCTTGGCTGTAAAAAAACAAACAAATTGTACGTATTATTTGAGGAAGTTTGAGATTATGCATATTTACAAACATTCATATGCATGGCTATTTCTCATACAGAGTATTTAGCAGCCTCCACCGCCGCCGCCTCCTCCGCAGCCACCACCACCACCGCCGCCGCCACCGCCACCACAGCCTCCGCCGCCAGTGCCAGCACAAGCTCCGCCACCACTCACGAAGGCGCCCGTTGCTGCAGACGGGCGCCTTCGCCTCTGCTTTCGCCTGTTAGAGGATTGAGAGAAACCGAAACACATCTTGGATTGTGCAAGATAAAGGTATGATCGATGCGAGGAGGCTTGCGCTTATATACAAGGCAGGAGAACATCTGATTGGCCACAAGGCCTGACCATATGGAGCAAGCAAAGCAACTTCCTTCACGCGCAATTTGACGAGATTTTATGCACGTATTCCTCAAAGATTGGATAGACAAATGCACGTTTGTAGTGTTACGTCTTGCGTTTCTTGAACACTCTGATGAAGTGTCACGACGTGGCACTGATTGCATAAACTTCTCCAGGTCCACACGCTATCATTGCTTTCTTCGTGGCTTCCTCTGAGTCAAAGTCTCACATTGCCTTCTAGCCTTGTATACAAGCAGAAGATTATGCCCCCTTGCAAGCAATCAATCCAAAATGTGTTTCAGTTTCTTTGCATCTCCAAAAAGGCAAAAGCCAAGAAGGCGCTCCAATTTCGTGGGAGCAATGTTTAGCGGTGGCCACCATGGTGGAGGCCACAGTGGAGGCTCTGGTGGTGACCACGGTGGAGGCCACGATGGAGGAGGCTGTGGTGGTGGCGGAGGCTGTGGCGGTGGGGGCTGTGGCGGAGGAGGTGGCGGTGGCGGAGGTGATTAAAATGACTTCATGTGTACAGGAGAGAGTAAGTCCTTAGATTTTACATATAGTGTGGATTTTTTGTTTGGGAGCTTGTGTAGACGTTCGCTAGTAAAGCATAGGGTGTCTTGGGAGTTGCGTCGGTTACGTCCATTACAGATCTCACTACATCGTCTCCCAGTCTAAGACTGTTATAATCCTCGTGGCTCTTGCATGCTCCGAGGAGGCACGTCCACTCGAGAGCACTGGGAACGAACGGCATGCTTAAGATTAGATCTTTGGCGTCGTGAAGGTGGCCGGCTCGGCTCAAGAGATCTACCATGCAACTTAAGAATATAAATTACCACCTACATTCAAACAAGCACCAAGAGACATGAGGAAGGTGGCACTGTTGGTCATTCTCTCGGTGGCGTGCACTTTCTTCCCTGGTTTCCAATCTGTTGCAATTTGTACTTGGCTCCAACCATTTTTCCTCTTGCATTTCTTCCACAAATCAGGGATTTCGCACAATTCTTGCTCATGGAGCTCTGCGGTTTTCACAATTCTCCTGGCGCTCATCCTCCACACCACTGCCGCGAGCCTGGCATTCTTGGCATTCTTCCCGGGAAAGGTGAGCCCGGACAACTCCAAGGCCAGCAGCGTGCCAATTGTAGGAATAATCTGGGCACTGGCGCTGTGGATGTTTCTTCTCCTCCCATTTCTTGCAAGCATCGGCTACAGGAAGCGTTTTGACCGAGCAAGAACGTCCCAGCCGCTGGTATTCGCGTCGATGTGGACCACGGCGTGGTTGTTGTGGAATCGATTCGGCGGCGTCGGCTCCTTCCTCCATCCCGCCGTTTCCCAGGTTACAATCTTGCCGCTGGTGATGAGCGCCGGCGTGTGGGGGATCGATGGGATCGCATTCCTCATGGCGTGGTTCTCGGCGATTCTCCACGACAGGGCCGTTCTCGACGAGAATCTTTCCAAGATGGAGAAATCCGACAAGAAGCGTGCTACGCAGCTGCATCGCGGCCACTCCCTGGCGTTTGGAGCCATTGCTCTCTCGATCCTGTTCTACGGCAGCGCCAGGGTCTCCATTTTCTCGGGGGATTTCTTCCAGAAGGACATCGCCCTCATGATGTGTTGAGAGTAGATGCTCAGGTAGATGCTTAGCTAGGCAGTTAGGATGATGTGGCATTAGGCAGTTGCCACAGCCCGTGTATATATAGCTTCATATATACAATATGAGCAGTCGTTGCCAGCAGTCGTTGCCTTTTGTATCATGGTATCGGAGCACAGATCTTGAGGACCTGTGAAGGATGAAGAAGAAGAAGAAGCTTCCAGATGCCAACGGCAGAAGCAGAGTAGCCTAGAGCGCAGCAACAAAGCAATGGCAGAGCCATACCAACAGCGAGGAGTGGCAGATAGTAGCGACTCAGAAGCCCTGGAGTGGCAGAAGATGCTGATATGCTCCAAGAGAGGAGTAGTAGAGCAGCCAAGAAGCCCAGGAGCAGCAGAGCAGTGACTTAGCAGGCCGAGAAGCAGAACGGCAGCAGGAGTGGCCAAGATGCTCGAAGAGAGGAGCAGCAGCAGCCAAGTGAGCGGCGGCAGATAGCAGCGGCAGAGTTGGCTGAGAAGCCCAGCAGTGGCAAAAGAGCTCCAAGAGAGGAGCAGCAACAGCCAAAGCAGCAATGGCAAAAAAGCTCCAACTTGGCCGTGAGCATTGAGAGCGGAGACAAATCCAACTTGGTTGTAAATGCCGGTCATATGCATAGTGTGAAACAACTGAAACACAGAAACCGAATCCCCTGCTTGGGTACATGCAGTGAGCATTGCATCCCAAGAAACTTCATTCTTCCCTGGCATCTGGGCAAAAGTTTTTCTTGCAAGTGAACTCTGGCCACTAAGGCCATAGCCAGCAAGCATTATAGTCCAAGAAATTACGTCCTTCTCCACCATTGCATTGAACATGACCCTTGCTTCTGCCATATACCCGTTTTGGGCATAAGCATCAAGCATGGTGTTCCAAGAAACTAGCTGCTGGTATGGCATTTTATCGAAAAATCGTCGTGTCAAGTCCATATCTCTTGATCCTGCGTAGACATACAGCAGTGAACTCCACGATACTAAACTCCAACATGGCATTTTGTCAAATATACACTTTGCCTGCTCAACTTTGCCAGCGTGGGCATATCCGGCTAGCATGGCGTTGCATGCTACTGGATTCTTGAATGGCATTTTTTGAAAGATGTCCTCGGCCATGAAGATGCTGCCAGCGTGCACACATGCTGCCAGCATCGCGGTCCATGTTACCAAGTTCCAGCATGGCATTCTATCAAATAGTAATTTAGCTTCCAATAGATGCCCTGATTGGGCATATGCAGAAATCATTGACGTACACGAAACTAGATCAATTTCTGGAATGGCTTCGAATATACTCTTTGTTTCTTGTAACTAGAATTTACGGCAGAAAGGTTTAACATCACAGTCCAGGAAATGAGACTTCTCTGAGGCATAGAATAAAACACACGCCTTGCCTCCTGCGGATACCCGCTTTGGGAATATGCATTCAGCATACAGTTCCAAGCAGCTAGATCTCTTTCTGGCATTTTCTCAAAGATGTTCTTAGCTTCTTCCAAATTTCTATTATTCGCATGCAACGTTAAAACCACCGTCCAAGAGATCATATCTCTCTCAGGCATGGCATCAAACACCTGAACCGTCTCGTTGATATACCCACTGTGGGCATATGCAGAGATCACGGCGTTCCAAGACACTAAATCCCTGTGAGGCATGTTGTTAAAGATTTTGTAAGCTTCTTGTACACATCCACACCGACCAAACCAAGATAACATCATGTTGAAAGAAATCAAACTCTTCTCCGGCATTTGGGAAAACATCAGCTTGGCCTCTTCCATATGACCATTTTGTGCATAGACAGCTAGCATCAAGAACCAAGACACCGAGTCCTTGTTACGCATGCGATCTAAAACTTGCCGAGCATCCTTGACTCTTGAAAGCTTGCCATACATCTTGATCTTCCCGTTTGATGCAAAGCGCACCCTTGCAGGAGTGTCAGTGGCTATTTCGACCTTGAATGCTGTGGCGGGCTTTACTGCTGCAATGGACATGCAACAAACAAAGAATGTAAAGAACAAACCTCCAAAAGTAACGATTAAAACCACAACGTTCAATGATGAAGTTGTTTCTCAAAGCTTCATACGCCATGGATGGTCCCGTACCTCCTGCCTTTGGTAAGCTGCGTCAGCTGGAAGTTCTCGAGTTGGGAGGGAACTTCTTCTCCAGACCACTGCTTGCTCAGCTCGCATCCACACTGCAAACGCTGGATCTGACAGGTTATAGATTTGAGGAACCGATTCCATCCATAGGTTGGAAACTGACCAGCTTGGGGTACATTAGGGCCGACAGCTCGGGCAGCATTCCGTCGTTCCTCACCAAGCTCGAGAAACTCCTTGTCTTGAATCTCAAAGCAAGCTTGTTCACTGGCTCCATTCCTTCCTCCCTTGGCCAACTAAAAGGCCTAGTTCTCCCAAGCTTACAGGTTCCATTTCCTCGTCCTTAGGGGAGCTGAAAAGCCTCTAATGTCTCAATCTCTTGAGCATTTCCAAGCTCATAAGATCCATTCCATATTTGATTGGTATGTTAAACATGCCAAATTTATGATAGGTATGAAGTTGATTATTAGTTAGAGTTATGAGAAAGTTGTTAATCTCATAGCCTTTGTAAGGACAGAAAATGATATTATCTTAATTGTTGTCGATTGTTTGACAAAAATGATTAATTTCTTCCTTGAAACTAAAGTTTCTGGAACTTGTTTAGATGTTTGTAAATCGGTTATTTAGTTTTTATGGTTTGTTAAGTGATATTATAAGTGATTGAAATCCCAAATTCACATGTTTTGGCAAATAGTCTTTAAAAAGTAAGAAACTAAGTTGAACATAAGAAGTGATAAGCATCCACAATCAATTAAGTAGATAAAACATATGAATCAACTATTGAAAGATATCTTTAGGATTTTTATAGAAAATTTGACTTAACAGAAAGTATAAGAGTGTTACAAATGTGACTATGGGTATCAAAAATTATCTATTGGTGAATCTTTTGGAATCTCTTTCTTTTACTGATACAATAATAAAAGATTAGATTATTAATTCCCTTTTCAACCTCTTTTGTTTGTTTAGTAAATTAGGCTTAACATCTGTATTTAGGAACTCTTATATGTTTTTTGCTAAAAATACAATTTAACTTTTAGTTCTCTTTTACTCACTAACTTTACAAGAACCTTTACATATTGAGTTTTAGTCTTTCAATATTGTTACATAATAACTTAGTATTGAGAGGTTGCAGTGATTGGCAGCACCGGAGCTTACAGATTTGCGTCAGGGTACGACCAGTTTAGACCCTTATCATCATATTTTTCATATGTTAAGTTCCATTAGATATTTATGGAAAGTGTTAACAAGGTATTTATAAAAATGTAGAAATTGTCATAAACATGATGATGCATCCAAATTTACAATCTTTTCTGGGGGGCGAGGGGGAGGGGTTTGTTAATAGGCTTTTTTCTATCTTATTATCTTAATTTTGTGTTTAATAATCCTCCACTTGCCAAGGAATGATTCATATTTAGGCCACCCTCGAATAATACTTTTCTTAGGCTTGATTCTCCCTCTAATCCACTATATTAAATATTCCTTTAGAATATTCTTGCCCCATTTGTCAGCCACAAGAATATGAGTTATATGAACTATAATACCAATGTTATGATCTCATGTGAAAATATAAAATCTAATCTCCTCTTAAAATTCCTCACTCCCCTGAGTTTTTGAGTTTTTGATAAGTTCGAAATGTAATAAAGAGGTAAATCAAGCATGCTAAACTAACCTAAAGCATAATTTAACTCCCCCACTCTGTGGGGTTTAAGCCCATTATTCCAAAAGGGATTGGAGTGTATTTCAAAAGAGGCTGGATGGACGCCTGGAAATTTCAACAACGAATCACCCTACTCGATCATGTTTGGGCTGGACAAATGCGGCGCCACCAACAAGGTCCACTTCATCTACAAGCACAAGGGCCCCAAATCCGACAAGCACATCGAGCATCACCTCAAGTACCCGCCATCGCCAGTGGCTGACAAGCTCTCTCACGTCTACACGGCAGTGATCTACCCGAACAACACGCTCAAGATCCTCGTCGACGGCAAGGAGGAGAAGAGCGTCGACCTCCTCTCGAGCGACTTCGAGCCGGCCGTGATCCCGCCCAAGACCATCCCCGATCCCGACGACAAGAAGCCCGAGGACTGGGACGAGCGGGCGAAGATCCCCGATCCGGAAGCGACCAAGCCCGAGGATTGGGACGAGGACGCTCCACTGGAGATCGAGGACGCGGAGGCGGTCAAGCCCGATGACTGGCTGGACAACGAGCCGGACGAGGTTGACGATCCGGAAGCTAGCAAGCCCGCGGATTGGGACGACGAGGAGGATGGCGAGTGGGAGCCCCCGAAGATCAGCAACCCAAAGTGTGAGGAAGCGTCTGGGTGTGGAGAATGGAAGAGGCCCATGAAGAGGAACCCGGACTACAAGGGGAAGTGGCATCCTCCGATGATCGACAACCCGGCTTACAAGGGGATCTGGGCTCCGAAGCAAATACCGAACCCGGAGTACTTCGAGTTGGACAGGCCGGATCTAGAGCCGATCTCGGCGATAGGGATCGAGATCTGGACGATGCAGGACGGCATTCTTTTTGACAACATCCTGGTGGCGACCGACGAGGCTGTGGCAGCAGAGTACAGGGAGACGAAATGGAAGCCCAAGTACGAGGCTGAGAAGGAGAAGCAAAAGATTGAAGAAGCGACTCCGAGTCCTGACGGCATCCAGGTACTTTTCCTTTGTCTTCTTTTGTCGTTTTTTTTTTCTTTTTGTGTGACGACCTTGAATCTTTTCAGGCAAAGATGTTTGAGTACCTGCGCAAGGTTGCCGACATCCCGGCTTTGGCGTCACAGAAGGAAAAGATTCTTGTAAGTAAAAACACATGAGCATGGACTTTGTCTCGTATTCTAACTTTCTTTTCGTTTGTGACAGGATCTTCTGGAGAAGGCCGAGAAGTTCCCAACCATTTCTTTGAGCGCCATAGCTTTGATCCCGCTCGTCGTGGTGGTCACGCTGTTTAAGATTCTATTTGGTGGCAAGAAATCGCCCCCCAAGAAGACGAAGGTACAATTAGCAATAGCGTTGCGCGAGTTTTGGATTGTCATATGGTTGTTTGTCTTGCGCAGGTGACTGTAGAGAAGTCCAAGAAGGAAGACATCTCCAGCCCGGACGATTCCAAGGACAAGGCGGAGGACGACGCGGCAGGCAACGAGATTGAGAAGGAAGGCGAGGGCGCCCGCCAAAGGAGGACCCGACGCGAATCGTAAGAAAACAGGAGGCGAGAGAGAGCTAGAAGAATCAAAGCTTTTACTCGATAGAAGACAAGAGAAGAGCGCTCAAAACGTTGTATTGCAAGTGGATGTTTCCCTTTTTTTGGATTTTACTTGAATCACTATAGAATTGCTGAATAGATTCTACGAGGTTCTACTTACTAGTTCCAAAACAGTGCTAAGATTGTGGCCAAATCAGTGAAAAAAAAACAAACAAGTTCAATACAAACAAACTTGTACGTATTATTTGAGGAAGTGGAAAATCAAGAACTGCATATTTACAAACATTCATATTTCTCATACAAAGTATTTAGCAGCCTCCACCGCCGCCGCCTCCACCACCGCCTCCTCCGCAGCCACCACCACCACCACCACCACCACCACAGCCTCCGCCGCCAGTGCCAGCACAAGCTCCGCCACCACTCACGAAGGCGCCCGTTGCTGCAGACGGGCGCCTTCGCCTCTGCTTTCGCCTGTTAGAGGATTGAGAGAAACCGAAACACATCTTGGATTGCACAAGATAAAGGTATGATCGATGCGAGGAGGCTTGCGCTTATATACTAGGCAGGAGAGCATCTGATTGGCCACAAGGCCTGACCATATGGAGCAAGCAAAGCAACTTCCTTCACGCGCAATTTGACGAGATTTTACGCACGTATTCCTCAAAGGTTGGATAGACAAATGCACGTCTTGCGTTTCTTGAACACTCTGATGAAGTGTCACGACGTGGCACTGATTGCATAAACTTCTCCAGGTCCACGTGCTATCATTGCTTTCTTCGTGGCTTCCTCTGAGTCAAAGTCTCAAATTGCCTTCTAGCCTTGTATACAAGCAGAAGATTATGCCCCCTTGCAAGCAATCAATCCAAAATGTGTTTCAGTTTCTTTGCATCTCCAAAAAGGCAAAAGCCAAGAAGGCGCTCCGATTTCGTGGGAGCAATGTTTAGCGGTGGCCACCATGGTGGAGGCCACAGTGGAGGCTCTGGTGGTGGTCATGGTGGAGGCCACGGTGGAGGTGGCTGTGGTGGTGGCGGAGGCTGTGGCGGTGGGGGCTGTGGCGGAGGTGATTAAAATGACTTCATGTGTAAGTTCTTAGAGTTCACATATAGTGTGGATTTTTTGTTTGGGAGCTTGTGTAGACGTTTGCTAGTAAAGCATAGGGTGTCTTGGGGGTTCCGTCGGTTACGTCCATTACAGATCTCACTACATCGTCTCCCAGTCTAAGATTGTTATAATCCTCGTGGCTCTTGCATGCTCCGAGAAGGCACGTCCACTCGAGAGCACTGGGAACGAACGGCATGCTTAAGATTAGATCTTTGGCGTCGTGAAGGTGGCCGGCTCGGCTCAAGAGATCTACCATGCAACTGTAGTGCTGCCTTGTGGGCTCAATGGCGTGATCCACAACCATGGAAGCGAAGAAGCTCTTTCCCGCTTGAAAGCTGCCTTTGTGGCTGTTTGCGGCCAGGATGGATGCGAAGCACGATGTGTTTGGGGAATCGACAGCCTGCATTTCGTTGAGGAGATGAAAGGCCTTGCTGGCAGTGGTGCTTACTTGTGCATATGAAGCAATCATGGAGCTCCACAAGATTTGGTCTCTGTCAGGGGCTGTATCAAAAAGTTTCCTTGCGTATACAATATGGCCTTCTCGGGAAAATGCAGATATCAAAGCATCCCAGGTCACAACGTTGCGTTCTAGCATGCTATGAAAGAGTAAAGCAGCTTCACGTAGTTTGCTAGTTAGAACAAACGCATTTAACATTGTGTTCCATGAAACCATATCCATTTCGGGCATCTCTTTAAAGAGTCTTAAAGAAAAGTCACAATGCCCTGATTGAGCATACGCCGAAAGAATAGAGTTCCAAGAGCACAAGTCTCGCTGCGGCATTTGATCAAAGGTGGCCTTCACAAGCTCCAAGTCTGAGGGTTGTGAGAGCAACATTATCGTACAGGAAGTAAGATCAAGCTCCGGCATTTGATAGAAAAAGTTCTTGGTTTCCTCCCCGGGGCTGTTCTTGGCAAGAACAGCGAGCATTGTTGTCCACGACGAGAGAGCTCTCTGCGGCATGGAGTCAAATATAAGCTTTGATTGTCTAGCATCACGGCAGCATCGCATCACAGTGTTGCACGAAACGAGATCTATCTCAGGCATCTCGCGGAAAATCCTTTGTGCCGAATCGACATCCTCGTTCAGTGCGTACGCGCCAAGCATCGCGGTCCAGGCGACGAGATCGTGCTGCGGCATTGCATCAAACAAAAGCTTTGCTCCGTGCAAATCTCCGCCCTGAGACAAGGCAACCAAGATTGTCGTCCATGACACAAGGTCACGAGCCTCCATACAATCGAAAACACGTTTCGCTCCCTCTACATGCCCGTTCCGGGCATATGCCGCAAGAATGGAATTCCAAGACACGAGATCATACTCGGGCATCCCGGAGATAATCCTCTGAGCATTTTTTAGATCCCAGCTATGTGCATGTACTGACAGGATTGTGTTCCATGAGAGAAGGCTGTGTTGCGGCATCTCATCAAATGTTTTTTGGGCATTGAAAACATGCCCAGTTCGGGCATATGCCAAGAGCATGGATGTCCATGCAAAGACATCCTTTTGCGGCATTTTGTCGAAGATCTCTTTTGCATGTTTAAGATGGGAGTTTTGGGCGTAAGCTTGAAACATGAAAGCCCACGAAAAGGAGTCTTTGTGTTTGATGGTATCAAAGATTTGGCGTGCCTCTCGTGGGCTTCCATATTTGCCAAACATCTCAATGAGTTTGTTGCTGAGGAAGGAATCATCAGCAAGTGGATGATTCCTTTTAAGATTCAAGTAAATCTCTTTTGCTTCATAAAGGCTTTTGCAGGATTGAATAAAATGAATGTTAGAGTTTCTATTCATAGTCCAACCCAAAATATTGGACTCAAGATTGTTGTAGCGTGTTAGTCCGCTTTGTTGCTGCTACCTCTGGCAGACTTGACAGCCTCTCTCGTACCACCATGGCTGTTTCGCGCTAGGTTTAGGTCTCTCCATCCCTCCAAGCGGCGGAGCATACCTAGATTAAATAATATTTAATGATAATAATAAAAACTCATTATGAGAAGAATAATTTGTTTGTAACACTGTTTTGTTAAAATTTTTATTTATTAACCTAATTGATCAATCCAAATTAAATAGTAGAATAAACTAAAATATACTAAAAAAGTGTTTAAATACAAAACTAATCTAATTATTAGATGGTAGAATATCTTAAAATATCAAAGTTAGTGGTAAAGGTGGTTATCCTAAGACTGAATATCCTTAATCAATTAAAAAATGAAATATTTTATTCATACGCTCTTTCTTTCTATATTTCACTGTAATATCCCAAAATCCTTAATCAATTAAAAAATAATATGCATTTTTATTCATAAACCCTTTCCCTTCATATTTAATCATCTTTTAAGTAGCACTCTTCTAAGAGCCCCACTCTTTTGCTAGATGTTAATTAAATATATAATATAATTCCCTTAGCTAACCAATAGAGTTTAGATTTTTGGGAAGACATTTAACCCATTACTATTTATATCCCAGAATATTTAACCCCAAATATCCCAAAAATTTTAACTAGTTGAAAAGTGGGGTTTTTTCCCTTTATATTTGAACTTTTATGCAAGTCATTCTTTTTTATTTGCAAATAAGTTAAAAAATTTATGCAACTAGTGTTCTTAGATTGTTCTAGGAACAATAGCCTTGTTTAAACATAACATTTTTTTGGATTGCTTCCAATAGCTTTTAAAACTTAGTGGGAAGAAAGTGAAAATTCAAAGATTTGCAGTCCAAGAATCAAAAGAATTCTTTAAATGATGGTGACTTATCTCATGGCCATATCAAATATTAATAACCTCTAAGTGACAGCTTAAACAAATATAATTATTTTATGGTTTTTAATATTTTATAATCCAAAAAAAACAAGTGGGAAAGAAGATGTAGATATGGGCAAGGGGATAGGAGTTTTGTATTACAAGAAAATCAAATAGTACATTTTTTTTTCCTTTGAGAGATTTTAGTTAACTTTAGAGGTTTGGTTTGTATTTAAGATATAGTATTAAACACTGATTACAAACGAATTTTATGAGTGTAAAAATTAAAACTGCTAGATTAAGGTATATTCTAAAATATACCTAAATATTTATAGTATAATCCTTTCACTGTCAGTGCTTGGAATATGGAAAGGGAATATAAAAAATGTGCATATTAATTAACCCAAAAACCCTAACTTATATATATAGGAGCGAGTGGTCCAGATTGAAACCAATCCAACGGCTACCAAAATCCCTCTACACTAATATTAATATACGGCATCATAGCTGTATACTTAGCCTTCACATCATCCCCTCCTCTCGGAATAATGGAAAACTATCAGGGTTCTCTTGTAGACGGGCCAGGATCTAGAGGAACGTTAGAAGGAGGCATTGCCGGATATGTAGGTGGTATTAACTGCTTCTGATTCTTTTGTATGAAGCGTTTCAACCGCTACACATGCACAATCTCTGGAGGATCAGCCTATTGGACATCATGCCCAACCTCATAAACTTATAGTCCAACATGCCGCAACACCCGATATAGTCCTTTCCATTGTGCAAGGAGCCCTTTAGATAAACCACGTACCATAAGATGGGGAAAGCGGACTAACACCAAATCATCCACTTTGTACTCTGGAGGTAGACAATGATGGGAGTTGTAACGCCGTTGTTGTCCTACTTGTATGCGGCTTAAGTGTTCAGCAGACTCTACTAGGACAAGTGGAAGAATACTCGTCAAATACTAATCCCACAACTTAGCATCACCAGCTCATGGCAAGCGCGAAGGTAAACCCAGCTCCGTTGGTAATATTGGATCATGACTATATAGAAGTTTATATAATGAAGCACCAACAGAACTCTACACCCTTGTGACATATGCATACCAAAGAAACAGCAAATAACCATCCCAATCCAAATGTTCATATACTTCACAATCATCCCTTTGAATGTTCGAACAAGCCGTTCCACTAGACCGTTCGATTGTGGATGATAAACACTCGTGAAAGTG